TGCAATTCCCACTTGGCTCCTGTTTACTTTGTCATAGCTTCATTGTGGCTCTAATTCTCAGGCAGCGGGGCCACAGCTGTTGTGCAGGCAGCCCTCTGTACCCCCAGACAGGAGCGTGTAGCCATAAAGAGAATTAACCTGGAAAAATGCCAGACCAGCATGGATGAACTATTGGTGAGTACAATAAATACGGGCTGTTTTCTCAACCCAGTGTTTTGGTTTTTTTACGCCACACCCGATTCCTGTAGTACTACTTAACTTCTGCTACATATTGTTATGGTTCTCATTTATCTATTAATGCAGTTTGCATAGAAATCTTCTAACTTTCCTGTTGTTTATGCAGCTCGTTGCAGATTATTAAGATAAAGCAAGTGCCCTGAATAAATGAGATGTCCTGTATGTGAAATATCCTGTCATTTGCTTCTACCAATAGAAAGAAATTCAGGCCATGAGTCAGTGCAACCATCCCAATATTGTCACATACTACACCTCCTTTGTTGTGAAGGATGAACTCTGGTTAGTCATGAAGCTTCTGAGTGGGGGTAAGCTTCACCTGACACGGGTGGCTTAGTGATGCATTCATGCCATTCATGTGATAACATAAGTCTTAAATGCCCTTACACCGGTCTGTGTTTAATCTGATTAAAGAACAGCAGTGTATCAACCTGTGTTAATGCCTAGTTGACAAAAAGCGTTACATCTGAGAAATTTCAAAACTTATTATAAAGCCAGTTTCAGTATAATAATCCATTATAATTAATAAAAAATGTTTTTTATCAGGTCAGTTTAGTTTTGCTTAGACTCCAGTAGTTTTTGCTCAGTTCAGTTTTTATTAGTTCAGGTATCATAATTTGTAATTGGTAAGGTTTAATTAAGTTTTGCTTTATAGTTGGAACACTTGTAGATATTGTCCTCACAATACAAATTTGACCACACTCATGAAGACTTAAATTAACGACATTTGCTCGTCGTTTTTATTTAATTTTGTAACCGTTATATATCTCTGTAAGTAAACTAAGTAAGTAAGTAAACTTTATTTATTAAGCGCTTTTCACAGACAGGCAATCACAATCTTTGGGACAACAATTGAAGACCCGTGTCGGGGTTGTTACTCCCAAAAAAATAAAGCAGCACGTAACTTAATTACTCTCCACAGAAAGTAATAACTCGTTACCGTACTTTCTCATTACTTTGTAAAATTACCTGAAACATAATGTTATATATTTACCATTTAACAATAAAAACCTAAGGATCCAATCCTGTACACCAACACAAATCCCTAGGTTTCTTTTAGTGTTTAATTATGAACAAAAAGCTGACAACACAACGGAAAGCTGAAAACATAACAGTGATTCTGCTTTACAAATGTGCACAGGTAGGAAGTGAGCCTGACTGCTCATCACTGCCTTTAATACCTGTTAAAGGTCAGGCTCTGGCTGCTGGGCTGGGTTCTGCATACACTCAGGTTTATCATCGCTCTGGGTTCTTGGCTAGTTTTGTGTTAGCAGACTGTCCGTGCAGTGCTATTAGGAGCCAAAGTTACCACTACAATGTGGTTGTTTCTTTTCTGTACAGAGCTTGCACTTTACCATTGTACTCTTGCTCTTTTGTACAATAAAAATAAAAGTAATGTCCATATCTTCGCAGTAAACCACTCTGACATTTTCCAGCACACGAACTGAAATCAATGTAATGTGATTGCAGTAACACCCAACAGTGGTAACTAACTAGGAAACCATAGGTTTAAATCACTGAATTAAGTAATTTCAGCTGTAAAGACAATACAATAAGCTGCTCCCCGCAATAAAACAAATCTAAAAATACCAAAATATACAAATACACAAACACTGAAATGTAACATAAATTAATCACAAAACAGATTTGTTTCCCAATATTTTCTAAAAATTAACCATGTTTTCTTTTCTTGGCTGGCATCTTTTTAGGATCTATGCTCGATATAATTAAGCACAAAAGCAAAGAAGATGATAAAAATCGAGCTTTAGAAGAGCCTATTATTGCCACTATTTTAAACGAAGTTCTGGAGGGTCTGGACTATCTACACAGAAACGGACAAATTCACAGGTATTGGTTTATATCTTTTTCCT